ATCTGTGATTTATAAATGTTTTCACCAGACTTGGAAAAATTGGGACATAATTTCTTCAAATGTTGCTCCAGCCCCAGTGCCCCCCTGGCCATTTCTTTTCTTTCTTAATTTCTGGTTATTCCTCTACTAACACCCTTGAAGTTGTCCCAGAGCTCCCTGATCCTCTCTCTCTCCTCTCTCCTTATCTCTCTCCCTTTTTTAAAAATATATATATTTTAAAGATTTTATTTATTTGACAGAGAGCGATAGCACAAGGCGGGGTGGCGAGGGACAGAGGGAGAGGGAGAAGCAGACTCCCCACAGAACAGGGAGCCTGATGTGGGGCTCGATCCCAGGACCCTGAGATCATGACCTGAGCCGAAGGCAGACGCTTAACCTACCGAGCCACCCAGGTGTCCCATCCTCTGTCCTTTTTAAAAATTCTTATTTCTTGGTTTCATTTTGGAAAGTTTCTGGGATATCTTCAAATTCATTAGTCTTCTACAATGTCTAATCTGTTGTTAATTCCATCAAGTATATTTTTAATATCAGACATTGTAGTTTTGATCTGTAGAAATCCCATTTGGGTCTTTTAAATATTTTTCATGTTTCTACCTAACTTTTGAAGCATGTGGACAGTTGCCATTATAATGTCTCAGTCAGTTAGTGTTAACACCTGTGTCGACTGTTCTGGGTAGGTCGCTGTTAGTTAATGGGTCAGTTTTCCTGCTTGACATTCATAGTCATTTTTGGTTGGGTGCGTAATGTTTTTGTATTTCTTTCTTTAAATAGTTTGAGTATTGTTCCAGGATGCATCTAACTGACTTGGAAACAGTTTGATCCTTTTACATCTTGTTTTAAGAGTTGTTAGGCAGGAGTGGAATGGTGCTTAGTCAGGGGCCGGTTACTTCCCACCCCCAAGGCAAGACCCCATACTCTGTGCACCTGTGGTGTTCTGGTCCAGCTGGTGGGAACAGGCGTTCCTTCCAGCCCTATGTGAGGGAGGGATGCATGCTGTTTCTCATCCTTCCAGGCAGTTCTTCCCCACTTCAGGGATTGCGTCACACTGAAGTGGTGACATTTGTGCCTGCTTGAGAGGCCATCTGCAGCTCTCTGTCGACCCCCTCCCGGTGCATCCTATCCTGGCACCCTCTCCTGTGCCTCTTAGTCCAGCATGCCCACCGACTTCTTCCTGGCTTCCCGTCCCACTTTCTGAGCCCGGGCTTGGGAAAGTTGTATGGGACTGATGTTCCTATATCTGGAAAACTTGTTTCATTTATTCTGTTTTGTTTTTCCATTCAAAAGCTATTTATTCAGAACGCACCATGTGCCCCATTTACTTGGGATAGATCAGTGAGCATAACTGATGAGAGCCCCTGCTTTACGAGAGCTTACATCTGTTTGGCAGACAGACAGTTATTAATACACACAATAAATAAGTTTGTGATAGGTAAGGTAAGAGGATGGTAACTACAATAGAAAAGACAAAAGCGTAAGGAAGATGGGGTAAGGTTACAATTTTTTCTAGCTTTATTGAGGTGTAATTGACAAGTAAAAATTGAATATATTTAAGGTATCCAACGTTGATCATTTGATATTACATAGTCACTGTGAAATGATTACTATAATCAAGCTAATTAACACATCCATTACCTCACAGAGTGTTTTTGTTTTTCTGGTCTTGGTACGCTGAGAACACTTATGATGTACTCTCTTAGCAAGTTTCAAGTATACAATACAGTATTGTTAACTATAGTCACCATGCTGTACCTGAGATCCCCAGAACTTCATTCATCTGATAATTGAAAGTTTGTATCCTGTGACCAATATCTCCCTATTGTTCCTACTCTCCAGCCATGGGTCTACCCTCTGGTTGTATGATTTTGACTTTTTAGATTCCACATACAGGTAAGATCATGTAGTTTTTCTCTTTGTCTGTCTGACTTATGTCAGCATAGTGCCTCAGTGCTCACGTTGTCTCAAATGGCAGGATTTATGGCTAATACCCCAGTGTGTGTACACATGACATCTTCTTTATCCATTTGTCTGTGGACAGCCGCTTAGGTGGCTCCTTTGTCTTGGCTGCTGTGAGTAGTGCTGCAGTGAACACCGGAGCGCAGATAGCTCTTCAAGATACTGATTATTGCCTTGGGATATATGCCCAAGAGTGGGATTGCTGGGTCGTAGGGTAGCTCTGTTTTTAACTTTATGAGGAACTTCCTTCCATACTGGTTTCCACAGTGGCTGCCCCAGTTTGCATTCCCACCAGCAGTTCCTTTTTCTTCACATCCTTGCCAACACTTGTTATCTTTGTTTTTTGATGATAACCATCCCAACAGGTATGAGGTGATATCTCACTGTGGTTTTGATTTGCATTTCCCTAATGGTTAGTGATGATGATGTTGGGGACAGGACCAAGCCAAACAGGGCTGTAGCTGAGTCCTTAGGGGGCAGAGCGTTTCTGGGTCTGTAGCTGGGGCCTCTGGCAAGCCAGCTGCCTGGATGCAGGGCCTGGCTTAGCCTTGGACTGCACCCAGGTTTCAGTCTCCTCCCTGGATGCCAGAGCTTCCATTGGGCATTTTTGTCTGAGGATGGATGCCGGATTGTTGCTGAGGGGCACATGAGTGGGGACCTCCTGTTCCACCATCTTGCTGGTGGCACTCCCTCTCCGTTTCCAGCTGTTTTGCTGGTTGTTCTCTGTCTTGCCTAGAAGCAGATAACCTCATGTCTGTGTCTTAATTGTGAGGACTGGAGCTGTCAGAAGAGTACACCCTGACACCTGGACGTCTCACATCCTCTGTCTGTGACCCCAGAGACTCCTGTGTTCACAAGGGACCCTTCCTCAGCTGTGTGAGGAGTCTTCCACATAGCTCTGTCCTCTCTTATGTTACATGAGACTGCCTTGGACATCCTGTCTTCCTCCACCAGAACTCTCCAGAAGCAGCCTCTGGACCAGCTGCCTCTTTGTGCTCACCTCCCCTGCGACTTCAAGCCCCGTCCAGGTGGACTGTTGCCCCAGCCTCATCACTAGCACTGCCTTTATCCAGGCCTCCAGTGATGTGGTGCCGCCAGACCGAGCGGGGAACCCATGTCTTCCCTCACCTGACCTTGCCGTGTCCTCTCTTTCCTGCTGACGCGATGTCCTGTCTTCCTCGCCCTGTCCTCTCAGTTTTCCTTAGGAAATTGGCACGCCCAGGGGTCAGTCCTAGACCTCAGCTCTATTCTTGGCTCAAGTCTCACCCTTCACCTAGAATGTCGCAAATATTAGTTTATCCTGATTGTTTGCATTGGCATTGTTGCATTGGCATCCTAACTAGGCTCTTTGCCTCCCTCTTGTGCCTTCACTGTCTGTCTTCAGCACAGAGCAGAGCAATCGTTCCAAGATGTAATTTGGCTTCCTGTCACATTTAGGTTAGAATTCTCATGTCCTCATTGTAGCTGGCCTGCTGGATGTGACAGCCACCCTCCCTGCCAGTGTGGCCTCATTCTGCGTGTGTTCCCCTGTGCACTGCACCCCCTGCTAGACAGTGTGCTCCCCCAGATCCCTGCCAGGCCTGCTGTCTCCTCCATCGGGCTCTGCTCCGTGCCTCCTCTGGAGCAGCACCCCTCTGGCTGGCATGTCTGGAGCAGCTCTGGCATGTTCTCCCCATGCCTTGTGGTATTCTCCTTTGTGTCTGATTCTACCTGACTTTATGTTAAATGTTTATTTATTCAACTGTGGATTGCCTCTCTCACTATGAGCAGAGAGTTTGCCTTCTTTAGGCTGAGTAAACAGTGTTGCGAGAGTGCCTGGCATGCAGGAGACAGGACATGTCTGAAATCTGTGGTGGAATGTGAATTTAAATGAGTGCTCAGGAGAGGCCTTTCTGGATAAAGGAATGACATTAGATTGTGTTTCAAGGGCCATTTGTAATTTCCAGCCTCATCAAGTCCATTGGTTTTGTTTTGTTGTTTTGGGTTGGTTGGGGGTTTTTTTGCTTTGTTTTATTGTTTGCTTGCTTTTGCTGGTTGGGGGTGGATTTTGTTAAAGCTCTATATAAAACAGGCACAAGCTCTCTGTTCTTATTTGTTAATAAATGCCCTACTTTGTCCTTACTTTTTGATGGTCTATGACTTTTAAAATTTAAGTGTTTCTTCTCAGAAAATTCTACATATAGGATTATGCACATCTATGTAGAAGTGTATGGAAAACTGTTAGTTCTTCGTGTTTCGGTGCCTTTGATAGCCTGGCCGCCTAAAAATAGGGTCCTCACCTCTTGTGCAGAGTCCAGGGGGAGGAGCAGGGGCCTCACCCCAAACTCCAGTATGAAAATCCTGCTCTCACGGTGTGTGGGTGCTGGGGGTGCCAGGGCCTTACCCTGAGCTCCAGCTCACTGTCTGGTCTGTGACCAGTGCCTCGTGGGACACACGCTCAGATGTCACCCACTGTGCTCTCTGGCATCTTAGGAGACGTTTCTGCTAGAAGCTGGTGCCAGCCTCGGTCTGCTTACTTGGTATTCTCCCGTAGGGTCTCTGAAGCACAGCACTTCCCACCTGTAGCTTTGACTGCCTGGACATTTAAAAGCAAGTTCATAAGGCTCTAGTGTAGAGACTGCGTAGTCCTTATGGCCTGTGTGCTCAGAATCCCCAGCCTTTGTCTTTCTGGCCTTTATTTATCTTTTTCCTTATTTAGTATTCTGTGTTCTTGTAGGCTACCTGAAAGTCCTTTTTGAATTGAGACAAGGTATTACATAAACTTAACTTTTTTTCTGGGAGGGAAAGAAGGACCTCTAAACGTTGGTAATAAATCTTACTCCTCAGATTATTTTTGTAACTATTGTTTTTGTTTAAGGGAGAGGGGATTTTAAGTTTTTTGCCTCTGATTTCCTTTTCTTAGTAGGTAAAATAGTGATTTTTTTACTGTCTTTGCACAGTGTAGATGAATTAATATGTATATTGAAAACATGAGAATCACCATGCTGAGTCATCTGCTTGGTAAATTTTAAGCCATTTTTCCTGAGTTGATCATTTCTTTTATGTAGGAGGTAATGAGTCTCAGCCGGAAAGCCAGGAGGACCCCCGAGAAATACTTAAAAAGACATTGGAATTCTGCTTATCTAGGTAAGGATGCCAATGGGTTTTCTGGTACCTGCTGTCTCAGGTGTTCTACACTAGCTATTATGTACAGATGTGCTACTATAGAGAAGGGGTAGAGATCTGTTGATATCTTCATAGGACATGGAGAATATGGAGTAGCAGTAGTCTTTTTGACATGGTGGAGAACCAAACCGAATCAGCTAAGCCAGTGTTCCCCACAGTTCTCCACAGATTCATCATTATGATCATTACCTGGGTTGCTTTTTGAAATTCAGAGTCCTGGCCGCGACCCCCCCACCCCCAATACCACGGAATCAGACTCTGAGGGTGAGGCCTCAGGTCATCAGTCTGACAGAGACTTTTTTTTTTTTTTTTAAGATTTTATTTATTTTGAGAGAGACAGTGAGCGAGAGAGAGAACAAGCACAAGACGGGGAGAGGCAGAGGGAGAAGCAGGCTCCCCGCTGAGCAAGGAGCCTGCTGTGGGGCTCGATCCCATGACCCATGAGACCATGACCTGAGCTGAAACCAAGACTCGGACGCTTTAACCGACTGAGCCACACAGGTCCCCCCACATTTTTTATTTTATTTCATTTTTTAAAAAGATGTTATTTATTTATTTGTCAGAGAGAGCAAGTGCACAAGCAGGGGGAACGGCAGGCAGAGGGAGAAGCAGACTCCCCACTGAGCAGGGAGCCCGATGTGGGACTCGATCCCAGGACCCTGGGATCATGACCTGAGCCGAAGGCAGACACTTCACTGAGTGAGCCACCCAGGCGTCCCTTGCAGAGACATTCTTGAGTACAGTGAAGTTTGAGAACACATTTCCTATCCTAGTTCTCCCAGTATGCCAAACCCTACAGTAGCAAATTGTTCTGTGTATGTACCGCTCGTATGTTTAGTTGTTCCTTTATCCTGAGTAGTACCTTTTCTCTTGACAAATGGAGTAGAACCTTTAGTTCAAAATGGCAGAACGATACATACAGGAAGATGGGATTGGGTTAAATTGTAATTTTCTTTGAGTGCGATGATAACTGATGGGCCATGTGGAAGATTTTCTCTCAGCGATGGAGATTTTTCAGCTGTTTCTTTGGGCCTGCCTTCAGACTTTCACAGAGTGTCTGAGGAGGGCCGCTCTAGAGACTGTGGGGCTACATGGAGGGGAGGGCTGGGGAGGGGCGGGTACCGCAGCTTGCCTTCCTGGCCCACACCTCCCCAGTTAGGCCCCGGCACCAGGCCTCAGGGCATGCTCTGAAAGGGAGAGCTTCTGCACTGAGGCTGTGAGGTGGAAGAGGGGGGGTCTGCACCTCTCACAAGCTCCGCTCTGTCCCTCTTGCGCTACCTGACAGGTGGTGGGGACAGAGCAGCATTGCCCTCTGCGGATCTTGGAGACTGTCCTTGGCCTTCCCTGGGACCATCGTGTCTGTGTTGAGATGTTCCGAGCACATTGTCCTGTTTATGGAGGCTTCATATTAGGAGCATCGCCATAGGCCAAAACCCCAGCAAGTGGCTCACCTTCCCCCGAGCTGCTGGTGCCTGCAGCTTACCTCCCGTGACCCCACACCTGTGTTACTGGTCACGTGTCCTTCTCTGTAATTCTGGCTGCACGTGTTCCAGACGGCACGTGGCACCAGCCTTTCCTGGCCTTTCCATAGCTTTCTTAGCTTTGTGTTCTTTCAGCTGGATTGTCTTAACCTAAAAAACTGTGTTTGTATTTTTAATAAGCTACTCAAACACTTTTTAGAACAAAGATAAGCTATAAATACATTTTTAAGGGATTACCCACTCATTCATTGTGACTGTAAAAGGTGCACTATATTTTTGCTCTCCCAAAACTTCGCCTAAGGTCAGAGAGCTGACAAGAAACAGATGGGGTTGGAAGTCTGATGTAACTCTGAAGCAGTGCCGTGCCTTGTTCGCCCTCTTTGGAAGCGTCCTTTTAAAGAAGGAGTCACTAAAAGTTTTTGTCTTCTTTCTGCAGGGAGAACCTTGCTAGTGACATGTACCTTATATCGCAGATGGACAGTGATCAGTATGTGCCAATCACCACGGTAGCTAACCTGGAGCACGTCAAGAAGCTCAGTACTGACATGAACTTGATCGTGGAAGTGCTGAGGTGTAAGTAAATGGCAGTCTGGGCAGGCGCGTACGTGGTCTCGCAGCGGTGTGGCCCTTCAGGTCCATAGCCAGTCATTTAGGTACTTGAAGGCAAGTGGGGTCTTCTTTCACCTTCCTACCTCTCTGACTGGCCCCTGTGTGTGGTGAGGGGCGTCGATGGGCTCCGTAACTCAGACCCCGCATATGCCACGTCTCAGGGAGTGGGCCTAAGAAAGGCTGCCGCAGAGAGGGACAACTGCTGGGATGTTGGTGAAATATACAGGAGATGACCGTCTTTGATGGAAAGTACAATGCATTTTCATTAGCATTCCAGCAACAAAAAGGGCTTCTTTAAATTTCAACTTCCTGCTAAAGTTTGAAAGGTGAAATAGGACTGGTTTTCTTTAAAAGGGTATTGTGAGCGAAGTTGTTTCTTGGACATTTGGCAGCATCAGAGGAAGATTTAAACTATATCAGACCTGTAGGGGTTTGGGGACTGTGGGCCTTTAAGGGTGAAGCGCCTGCAACCTAACCACTTTGTCGTATGTTTTTGAAGACACCATTTGACCGAGGTTATAACTGACGTCCAGGGAGCTGCGCTGCATGTGTGTGCAGTGCATGGCTGGGTCAGTGTGGACCTCGGTGTACATCTGCGAAACCATCACTGCCCACAGTTTTCTGAGGGCCTTTGTACTGCTTCCAGTTCTCCCTGCCACCCGGGATGGCTTCCCTGGGGCTGAGTTTGAAATTCAGTGTACAATATATTGGATATATTTTTAAATGGGATTGTTTTTAATTATAAAGAGTCACTTTCTGTAATAGGACTGCAAGTACCAGATGGATTATTTCTGTAGTCTCCCTTCTCAGGGCTGCTCTGAGTCCTTCACAAAGAACACAGCATACATTGTGTCCCCCCACCCCAAATATTTCTAAGTGAGGGGACATCCATCTTGCCAGAATTAAAACCCCATTTCCCTGTGTCAGCACTGTGACTTTCCGTCACTGACACTTAGGCAGCAGTGCTTCCGTACTCTCCCTGGCGTGGCTGACAGGTAGTGATGATTTTTTCTTGTGTGCATTCGACTTCATAGAAGAATAGGTGAACGTCTTATCTTAAAACTTAGTTGGATTTCTGTTCGCAAATAAAAGTTCTCCACTTTCTGTTCCTAGGCAGATTTTGTAAGGTCATTAAATTATTGGAGCAGATGGTGAAGAAATGAGCAGACATAATCTATGAAGTTTGAATTCTGAAAATTATAACCACTGTCCCAAGATAAGATAGCTTTATGCTTTCCAGCATTGCTTTGTTTTTGACACTTCAGAACAGAAATCTGTTTGTTGGATCGGTTGAGTTTGGTTCTGTGTGACCCACTTATAAAGGCCAGTGGCTTTCCTAACCTAAAAAACACTTTATCCAGTTAACATTCTTTGGTTATTGTTAGGAATCCCAGATGTAGTTATTTCTTTTAGGCATTCCTTGGAAACTTGGCTGCCCCGTGGATGATTTCTCGGTTGACGCTTGCTGGCTAGGAGTCTTCATGCAGAGCACGAGGATGTTGAATTGCCCTGTGCGGTTGCTGCAGGGAGCCGCTTCTCCCCGTGGACCCACAGCCCTGCCACCCTCCCCACCCTTCTTCTGCCTTCCCTGCCAGTACCGTCTCGGTTGGGGGGGGGTGGTCTGCAGTTGTAGTGGTACCTCCTATCCATCTGCCTTCAGCTCTTGAGTGTCTGATTGCTTCTTTTCACTCCAGTTGTAGACAGAATATATGTGCATATGTAATAACCTAATGAACAGAGTGTAGTTAGCGTATTAGTTGTAGTTCTGGGCAGGGTGACATAAATAAGCCTCTGTGAGCAGAGATCTCCTGTTTAAATCTTATCCCCATCCCCCCAAAAATGCCTCACATAGAACATTAGATATACAGTAGACACTTGATAACATTTTATTTTAATTTGAATATTCCCTAGTACAACACCAAAACTCTAGTGTTGATTGAATTGCGTAAATTATGTTTTTGTGTCATAATACACGTGGTATGTAGTGCATGGTACAGAATGTCTGATTCAGATGCTTTGTTTTTACACTTTAAATATAGTTGAAATTGCTAATTTAAAAATAGACTCAGATATAAATACATTGTGATAGAGCCTCACAGTGAATACTAGAACAAATAAAACGAACTAGGCTACATTTTCAACAAGAATCCATTTTAAAATCGTAATGCTGAATACAAAAGCCTATTTTACGTAAGTACAAAATGATAACATCTGTACAGAGTTTAGATATGAGTAAAATAGATAGATAGAACTCTGCTTTTCATGGGTTCAGAGGTCCAGGGGTAAGAGTATAAAGACCTGAGTGGGACTGACTCTCCTGACTAAAGGTGAACGTTTATGGGGAGCACACAAACTGGGGACAAAACTGGGGGATGAGAGGCACGGGGAGTTTCGCCAATCCCTGTTTGTTGTTTTGTTTTTACAGCTTTCTTGAGGTAGAATTTACACACCTTAAATTACACGTGGTTTACATGTATATTTGTTAAATTATGACATCTTTATACACACGTGGAACTACTGTAATGAAGATAATGAACATACTGTCGCCCCTGAGAGTTTCCTCCTGCTTCAGGCAACCACTCGTCTGCTTTTTGTCGCTGTACCTTAGTCTACATTTTCTGAAAACTTTATGTAAATGGAATCAATCATGCAATAGCCTTTTTGGGAGGGGGGAGGATCTGGTTTCTTATAATTATTGTTGAGTCTATCAATAGCTTATAGCTTTTTATGGCTGAGTCCTATTCCATTCAGTAGATAGACCACATTTGGTTTATTCACCCCGCAGTTGATAGACTTGGTTATTGCCAGGTTTTGACTACAAATAAGGTGCCATGAGCATTGGTGTGAAAGTCTCAGTGTGCACAGAGACTTCCGTTTCTCTCGGGGTCAGTAGTTGGGATGGTATGGTAGGTGTATTTTAACTTGTGAAATTGCCTGCCGGTCTCCAGAGTGGGCTGATGCGGCCTCCATTGCTCCACACCCTTGCAAGCACTCGCTGTGCGCGGGCATTTTACTTGCAGATTTTCTAGTTTTATCTCATTGCTGTTTTAATTTCTGTTTGCCTAATGCCTGGTGACACCAAACAATCTTTTCATGTGCTTGTTTGCTCTCCTTTTATCTTTGATGAAATGTCTGTTCGTGTGCCCTCCACCCCACCTTTTTATTAGTTTCCTTACAATTGAGGTTTGAGGGGGTGTGTGTGTGATTTGAAATACTGCATTATCTATGTCCTGGATATAAGCTGTTAATCAGACATATGATTTGCATTCTCCTGGTCTCTAGCTTCTCTTTTTTTATTCTGCTAGTAACAGTATTTTTTGAACAACACAGTTCTGAATTTTTGTATAGTCCAATTCATTAATTTTTTTCTTTTATGGATCTTGCTTTTGGTGTTGTATCTAAGAAATCTGTTCTTAATCCAAAGTCATGGAGGTTTTCTCCCAGAAGTTTTATAGTTTTAGGGTTTACATATTTAGGTCTGTGGTCCATTTTAAGCTAATCTTTGTACGTGGTTTGAGGTATGAATCTAAGTTCTCTGCCCCCTCACATGTGGGTATGCAACTGTTCCAGCACCGTTAGCTGGAAAGACTCTCCCTTCCCCTCTGAGTTGGACTTGGTGCTGTTGTCGGGATCATCTGTCCCCACACTGCGGGTTTATCTCTGGGCTTTGTGTCCTTGATCTGCTTCTCTGTTTTGACACCTGCACTTCAGTGTCTTGATTACTACTCTGGCTTTGTAAGAAGTCTTCAAGTAGGTGCAGAGTCTCTCAACTTTGTTTTGGCTCTTCTAAGTGCTTTGCGTTTCCATATGAATTTTAGAATCAACGTGTCAGTTTTTCAAAAACATTTTTATTGGGATTGCATTGAATCTGTAAATCAATTTGGAGAGAATTGACATCATAACAGTAGTAAACACAGTATCTCTCCATTTATTTACATCTTTTATAATTTTCTCTTGGTAATGTTCTGCAGTTTTCAATGTACAGGTCATCCGTATCTTAACAGATTTATAACTATTTCCTGTTTTTGACACAATTTTAAATAATGTTTTTATTTCAGTTTTCATCAGTGCTAATATGTAAAAATACAATTCTCTTTTGTATGTTGATCTTGTATACTAAAACTTTGTTAAACTCCTCAATTCTAGTTTTTTGGGAAATTTTTTCAGATTTTCTACATAGAAATAAGCTTATTGCCTATGAATGGAAAGTTTTACCTCTTTATACCCAGTCTGGGTGCATTCAGTTTCTGTTTCTTGCATTATTGCCCTGGCTTAAACCTCCAGTACAGTGTTGACTGGAAGTGGAGAGAGTCGGTGTTTTTTGCTTTGTCCTGTCTTCAGTAAGTGTGATGCTAGATGCTGACTTTTCCTAAGTAAGGAGGTTTCCCTTCCATTCCTAATTTGCTGAGAATTTTTTTCAGGAATGTTGGATTTTGCCAAATACTTTGCATCTGTGAGGTAATGGTATGTTTTTTTGTTTTTTAGTCCATTAATGTGAATTACATTGCTGAATTTTCGATTGGTAAACCAACCTTTCATTACTGAGATAAACCCCACTTGTCATGATTTATTACTATTTTTATATATTGTGAGATTTGATTTGGCAAAATTTGGTAAGAATTTTTGATCTGTGTTCACAGGGATATTGGTCTATAGTTTTCTTGCTTTGTGTTGTTTTTGTTTAGTTTGGATATCAGAGAGCTTCTGGCCTCATAGGTGGAATTGTAGTGTATTCTCTTAAGCGTTTGGTAGGATTCTCTGAGGACACCGTGTGTGCCTTGAGTTTTCTTTTCTCTCCCAGATCTGGGTCTGTGTTGGTGACCGTCATCTTAGAGCGAGCTTTGGTAGCGTGTGTCTTTAAGGATGTTTCCGTTTCGTGTAAGTTGTCTAACTTAATGTTTATTAGCAGGAACTTTTTCATGATACTCCCTTAGGTCCTTTCAATACTAGTAGAACCTGTAGTGAAGTCAGTCTTCATTCCTGATGTTGGTAACATGTCTTTGTGGGGGTGGACAGCTCTGAGCCCTGATTGTGGTCATGGTTGTGTTGTGACTGCAATCTATACATGATACGGTTTCATAGACCTGACACCAGAACAGAACATCACAAAAAGGAATGTATGTAAAAACTTGTGAGGTCTGAATCCAGCCTGTCCCTGTGTTAGCACTGTTGTCCCAGCATCACCCTCCTTATATAGACCGTGGGCTGCGGTTGTGGAGGACGTCACCGCTGGGAAGGGCTGTGTGGGGCGCACATGGCACCTTGTTGTGAGTTCAAAATAAGTCGTAATAGGACGGAAAACTATTTTACGTTAGGCGCTCATAGAAAAGAAGAAGCCAGTAGCTCTTGAGTTGTGATCTACATGTCGGTTGAGCTGTTGAGAATCCTTGTTTCATGGTGTTAAATTTATTCTAGCTCTTAAAGGACTTTTTAAAATTCCTGTGCTCCTTAGTTTTGAGAAATTTAACCTGAGGGATGGGTGTAAAACCTTCTGATGGTTTGTGTTATGGTATCCCACTGTATACAGGTGTCTTCATTGTGTTAAGTAAATACAATATAGGACATCACACTGGAGTGTTTATATTATGTCATAACTAGAATGCAAATGATTTGTTTTAATATTTGTATTTTACCCTTCATTTTTCTTCTCTTTGTAGCTTTACCTTTAGTCCAAGTGGATGAGAAGGGAGAAAAAGTAAGGCCAAATCAGAGTCGTTGCATTGTGATCCTGCGTGAAATACCTGAGTCCACTCCTGTAGAAGTAAGTCTCCTCAGAAGGGCGGTTGGACATGTTTTGTGGGTTTTTGTTTATTTCTGTTTACTTCTTTGTTTTTTAGAGGGTGTACTGTAAAGAATACTCATAGTAACACTTTCTTCCCAGGATTTACACACTGTTAGTTGCAGTGTGATTCATTTGTAAGAGTGGTCCTCAAATGTTTTGGTCTCAGAACTCCATTATATACTTCACATTAAAAAATACTGAAGAGGCAGGGAAGCCTGGATGGCTCAGTCAGTGAAGCGTCTGCCTTTGGCTCAGGTCATGATCTCAGGGTCCTGGGATCGAGCCCCAGATCGGACTCCCTGCTCAGGGGGGAAAGTCTGCTTCTCCCTCTCCCTCTGCCCACTTGTGCTTGCTCTCTCTCACTCTATCTCAAATAAATAAAATAAAAAAGAAAAGTACCAACTTAGGCAGTAATTTTAGGAAACCACAGTATTTGATAGTGTCAGAGTCCTGAAAAGTCCTCTACAGTTCCTGCTTTGCTGTACAATGTTACCTGTCCAGACACTTAAACTGAGGTGCGTTGTGTATTGAAAACCCGGTGGTTGCACAAGAGCCTTTGTGTGAGGCTCCGATAGAGTCAGCCCTTGACCTGTATAGAGCGTGGCAGTTCACTGCTGCGGGGACTCTTCTTCGAGACCCCACGAAGTTTGCTTTGTCAGTCACGCGTCTTCCGTGAGGTGTAGGCCCGAGGGACTCGGGCCGCGGACATTCTCAGAGCCGTCTCTGCAGAGGAAATCGGTTAGTGTGTGTGCGGGTGTATGAAGGACACTTCTTGGTGTAGTGTACCAAAGGTGAGGGTTCTAACAAGCCTAGGATAAGAAATTACACCCTTCTTGAGTATGGCATTGTTCTAGCAAGTTTTACTTTCTGTTCAGCTGAGGCTGTTTTTACTAGTTCTATATTATATGTGAAGAAAAAGAAATAAGGAATGAATTTTTTTGTCCCTTTTTTTTTTTAAGGTTCTAAATATGAAGTATCTTATTTCTTTCTACCAATCTGGATGTCTTTATTAACTCACAATAATATTTAACACGTAGGTCCTTTGAAATATTTGTAAGGACTAACCAAGAAGAATTTTCTACTTTTAGCTGCAGACATTGATCTTGGTATATTTATATTATTCCAAACGGCACACCCTATGTCTGTTGTAAAACTTGAACCATGGAAGTTTTTTAAAAAAGTTTTTTTAGTAAACTAAGAGTTGAAACAGAAAGGGGTGGGGGAAGCGGCACAAGCTGAATGAGAGGACAGGAAGCCTGCGGAGCACTGAGCACACAGAGCCCCTCTGCTCAGGCTGGCGCCCCCTGCCCCGGGGGCTTCAGAACGCTCTTCCTGTTTCAGTGCAGCCCTGTGCTTGTCAGTGGTTGGAAAATTCTTTAAATTGTAGTTCATTTGGTTGCTTAATAATCTTTCATAAAATGGCCCCAATCCCCTGGTGACATTTTGCTTTGAATCGACTGTGGTGTCAGGGGCGCCACCCCAGGGTTTTGAGTGGACTTTTTGTGGGCTGCCTAGAGTTGGGTCCTGCTTTTCTGAGCCAGTCTGAAGTTCTCTGCCTTCTGAGTGGGAAGTTTGGACCGGTCACATGTAAGTGATCAGTAATGTGATTAGGTTTAAATTTGCCACCTTGCTGCTTGTTTTCTCTTTGTCCTGTTCCTCATTTTCCTTTCTTTCCATGCCTCCCTTTCTACTTGGGTTAAATTCATTATTTTTGTTTCCTTTTTTGGCTTATTAGATATAACTCTTTGTTTCAGTGGCTGCTTTTAGGGTTTGTAGTGACATGTTCAGCTGGTCCGTGTCTGCCTGTAGTTAATAGTGCCCCACTGCTCCCCCTTCCGAGGCTCGCTCCACTTCCTGAGCCCGGCGGGTACGCTGGGTATTCCTAAACCACACAGGACTTGGTTATGTTTGTCTCCAACAAGTTAGTTTTCTTTTCAAGAGATTAAAAGTAAGAAAAATGTGTTTCCTATTTATCCAGTATTTACCATTTACAGTGCTTTTCATGCCTGTGTTGAGGTCTACACTTCCTCTGGCCTCCTTTCTGCCTGTTTCATCCTTTATTTCTTGTGGTGCGGCTCTCCTGGCAGGGAGGTTTTTCAGCTTTTGTGTGTTTGAGAAATTTTTTTCTTTTTTCTTTTATTTATTCATTCTTTTTGAGAAAATCTTTATTTTGCCTTCATTTATGGAAGCTGTTTTCTCCGGGTGTAGAACTCAGGATTACAGGCTTGTGTTCCCTTCCTGTATCTAAAGATGCTGTTCGCCTGTGTTCTGGTTTGCGTTGTTTCTGGGGCTGGTCTGTCATTCTGGTCTTTGTTCCTCTGCATGTCGGCACGGCTCCCTTTTTCTCAGTGCTTTGAAGATTTTAAGCAATTTGGTGGTGATACCCCTTGATGTAGCTTGTGAGTTTCTTGAACTGAAGTTTCCTAAGGTGTTATTCTTTTTCTCTTCTCCCTTCTCTTCTTTTCAAAGTTCCTAACTAACTGCTAATGCAACGTAGTGCATTTTTCATTCCAGAGTTCTTTTTGGGTCTTTGTTTCTTTCCTCTTCTGTGTTTCTATTTAACATGCTCAGTCTTACCTTTTTGAAAATAGGATACATATCTAAGAACTATTTTAATATTTTTGCCTTTTTATTCTATCATTTGTATCATTTCTGGGCCTGATTTGATTGGTTTTTTTCTCCTTCAGGTCTTATTTTTCTGTTTCTTTGTGCGCCCGGTAAATTTTGAATGGATGCCACGCATTTTGGATTTTACTTTATTGAGTACTAAATGTTTTTATATTATTTCCTGGAGCTGATGTTGAGCTTTATTTGAGGTTCAGTTTGACCCTTTAGGAGTGTTGTCAGGCGGAAGTAGGGCCACATGACTGCAGGGCCTGTTCTTGCCCACGCCAGAGCAGTGCCTTTCTGCACACTGTGCCTGAGCCCCTGTGCATTGGGAGTGTTTTCTCCTCGGCCTGGTGGGGGCAGACACACCTCCTGTCCTTGTGAGTGCTGCAGCTGTTCCCTCTAATCATTGCAGGGGCCGTTTATGCATACTGTGCCGTGGGAGACCCCGTGAGAGCCCTGCACATGTGCGGCCGGGGCATGCTCACCTCCCTGGCACTGGGGGGCTGTGGGGCCCCCATGGGCACCCCAGGCTCACATGCCCTGCATGACCTGAGCTCTGCTGTCTAAAACTGTTCTTTCATATAATTGTTTCAGTGGGAAGATAAATCTGGTCCATCTTGGCCAGAAACAAAAGTTCAGCTAATGTTTAAATTTCTCACACCACCACCTCGTTCCCCAATTGTGTAAGTTATCAGCTTTCTGGTAGAGTGATATGATATTTTCACATTAATTTAGCTTCATGGTACCTTAGTGTACAAAGAAAAGCTATCAATAAGTTGTGGACTTATTTTCTGTGCCAGTCAGCTCCTCAGCTCTTCTGAAAGAGGCTTACTAGCTGTCCGTACGTCGGACTCTTTGACTAAGGATCTGTCCTTGAGTGTATGCGTCATTTCTACTTGGTAAGGACAAATGTGGCGTAGTCGAGAATTAATTTCTACATCTCTATTTCCTGTAGGAAGTAGAAGCATTATTTAAAGGAGACAATTTACCGAAATTTATAAACTGTGAATTTGCCTATAATGATAATTGGTTTATTACATTTGAAACCGAAGCTGATGCACAGCAGGTAAGCTGTTCCCAACCCCATGGAGCTCAGCGTTACCCATACTTCACAAGTAGTATGTGGAGGGCACTAAATTGGGGCTTGGAGATTACTACTGCATGGTGGTCCTAAGTTTGATTATAAAATGCAGAGGCAATCAGGTTATAGAAACTGAAATAGGTGTTTGTGAAGACAGTTTTTGTAGCAATAAAGCATATGACATTATTTTCTAAGGACATGTAAGACAAGCAGCCCATGAAAATGAATTCTGTTGTTTCATCTGGGTAGAGAAAGTTTTAATATTTGGAAAGTGTTCTGGGAAATTTGAATGTAATTTTAAGTTTCACAGGGCATCATTGTGTGTGTCAGATAGTTGAAAAGGCCCTGGGGAAGCTCTGTGAGGAGAAGCAAGGAGTGAAGATGGTCTCCCTGACCTAAAGGTGGAATCTTATTTGGGGGAAACATTAACGTGCTTCCAGGAATGCCAGTACAGTTGGCCCCTGAGCAGCAGGGGAGTTGGGGATGCTGACCCCATGCAGGGAGGAATCCACGTAGAACTATGGACTCCCCACATCTGAACTACTAATGGTCTACCGCTCATCTACCTGAAGCCTTACTGATAACAGCAACAATCAACACGTTTTGTATGTTATTTTTATTATATACTGTGTTCTTAGAATAAAGTAAGCTAGAGAAAAGAAAATACTGTGAAGAAAATCAGGAGAAAATACGTTCATAGTACTGTCCTGTGTTTATCGAAAGAAGTCCACATATAAGTGGACCCTTGCAGTTCAAACCCGTGTTGTTCAAGGGTCAGCTGTATGGTGTTAAGTGGTAGGTGATGTGGATGCTGGGAAGTTGAGACGAGAGAAACAGCCATCTGAAGGATGGGTTTGAGTGGGATGGAGGGAAAGGGCACAGGAGGACTGGGCGGTGGGGTCGAGCAGAGTCTTGTCAGTGGGGCGGTGCCAGCACTCCTCACCAGGATGGGGGGCGGTAGGCCAAGGTCAGGGCAGGTGGCGCAGAGCCTTCCCAGTTAGGGAGGGCACTTTGGAGAAGAATAAGGAGCTGCAGAAATACTGCAATCTGAATGTTTCCCTCTCTTGAACTGTGCAATTCCATTTTCAAGCTGGGGTTTAGTGTTAGGGGCGTGGTGTCCATTATTTTCCCCAGGTCAGGATCCTTAGCCTGTGGTTGTGGGAGGCTTTTGTGGTATCTGTTAATACTAAAAGAATTGTATGCAAATGTTGTTCATGAGATTTTTTGCTAGAGGCTCCTTAGCTCCTAGAGGTTCTTTTAAGGAATCTGTGACCCAAAGTAGGTTCTAGGTCTTGTCCCTCATATTTTAACTATACCATTTCCTTATTCAAGGTCCTGAGTTAACTGTCAGTTCATCTTATTTATAAGATTAACACTGGTATTTTGGGTGATTTTTGCCCTCAGGCTTACAAGTATCTGCGAGAAGAAGTGAAAACTTTTCAAGGAAAACCAATTAAGGTAAGCAAGACCATGGGTTATACTTTCTTTACTTGCCAGTCAGTTCTTGAGTATTCTGATAGAAATTTCTGTATTCCCAAACAGGCACGGATAAAAGCAAAGGCAATAGCTATAAACACATTTTTGCCAAAGAACGGATTTAGACCTCTGGACATGAGCCTTTATGCGCAGCAGCGCTACACAGCCTCCTTTTACTTACCTCCCGTCTACAGCCCCCAGCAGCAGCTCCCCCTATACAGCCTGATCGCCCCCCAGACGTGGTCGGCAACACACAGCTATCTCGATCCGCCCCTGGTGAGTCCTGTCCTTACGTGGAGCTCGTGCGGCAGGACGTTGTGGACACTGCACGAGGTGCTTGGAAGGATAGAGATGTTGTTGTAGTGGGGGAACCAGGTACACAGACAGTTTGCCATGGTAAAACAGACCTTCAGGTTCTTTTGTGGATTTAAACTTAATTGGGAGATCAATACGCAGCTGTGTACATTTAAAAAAAAAAACCTTCATAGACTGTCATATTGATCCTTGGCCCAGTCCCCCTGCCCTCCTGTATAGCAGTACCTTCCTAAGCTGTGTAATCCCCAGTAAAACACAAAATGTGATCCTAAGTCTGGGATCCCTGGGTTATGCCTGAGCATGGGGGCCTTGCAAGGAGAGATGCTTTTAAGGAGACAGAGGTGTTTTAATAGACTTGAACAGTTGAGGACAAGTAGAAGACCTACAAGCTTTTTTTCTCACACCAGCCCGAGTTGGCTGGCCTGTGTAGTGGATCCAGTTGTGCAGTTTTCTCCAGTTGTGCTGCTGGAGGGGTTAGAGAGGTCAGGTGCACCCTGCCTGGGCACTGGCATGAGCTCGGTGGAGTGTGGGATGTGAGAGTCAGGACTGGTCTGATCAGCCCCAGTCTGTTGGCCTCTCACCTGAGGCAGTGGGGAAGGACTGATGGACAGGTGCACCCAAGGTTGCAGGGCAGCTTTCGTTGGAACCAGAGAGCGGGAAGGTGGAGGGTGTGGAAGGTTGTGGTCAGAAAGCAGGAGTTGAGTTAATGACTTTGAGGATACGGCTGTGGACTGAGTCAGGGCCAGTTGTGTGGTGCTCAGGTCAGGTGGGGGATGTGGGGATGTTATCTGGGGCTCTCGTTACCACTCATGGTAGAAAGAGGATGTTGACTGAAGGGGGTAAGCTGGGGAGAAGAGCATCGCCTCAGCTGGGATGGTTGGTGCCTGTTTCATACCGACACGTAAAGACATGTCCGTGAAAGAATGTGGCCTGGAAGACAAACGATGTCCGTCAAACAGGCAATAATTGACGAAATGGGACTGAATACTATGGAACTTATAATTAGGGGGTTATCAGGTGTTATGTCCTCTTCTGTTGAGCTTATCAGAAGGGGTGGGAGGGAGAGGGGCTACAGGAGAGTGGGCAACGTGTGCCGAGGCACTGGGGGGTATTGGCATCGTGAGTATCTCTGAGCTGACCCAGAGGCTGAGGCGGGGAACTGGGAGACAGAGCTGTACAGCTTCTTAAATGGGCCCTGGGGCGTGTGGTTTTGGCCCGTAGCTTATGGGATGTGAGAAGGGCAGATGGGGAAGGGTGAGGAGAGGTCCTCGGGCGCTGGCAGAGCCCCGAGGTCTAGCACCACCGCAGTGGGGGCAGGGGGCAGTTACCAGACAGGTGCTGTCATTCAGAGTTGCTTCTCTCTTCAGAGGAAATCCTGATAATGCACTACTTTTTTGAAATCTTTGCTGTTTTCTGTAAGTGTGCCAACAGCCATGTAGCCTGATATATGATGAGAGAACCTTGAAGGGAGATAGAGTCCTTAAACTCTTGTGTTAAAGAATTTCTCCCCAAGGAGGCTAGCCGCCACGCTTGTGCTGTTTAGTTCCTCTTGAGTCGCTTCTCTCATTTCTGTAATCGGCCCCGTATCCGTCCTGAAGCAGGGGCCGTTGGCACCTGAGGTCAGTTGTCTGGCCATTGAGGAGGGTTCCTTTGATCCTAGTTTGGGGGTGGGCACGTGAAGCTTTTTGCTTGCTTTAAAGCATACCGTGTCATTTTGAGCAGATGTGAAGATACAGTGCCTGTGAATTTTCAGCAAGTCGTGTTAAATTATTGGGTTAGGAACTGATTTATTTTTTAAACTCTTGAGCACAATTATGCAAATACCAGAGTTGTGTATGTAAAAGGAAATGATTTGTCACGAGTGATCTTAGCATGGTTAACAATCTTCAGAATCTGGTTCTGGTTGATCCATATTTAAACAGTCTGACTCTGGGAACTGTTCTCAAACATACGTTGAGGATTCTCACGAAGTCCCAAGGGTATCTTTCTGCCCCAAAGTTTCCCCTCTGTTGCTTTTTTTTTAAAACAGCAATTTTTGGTCCTACGTTGTCCCTAACATCCATTTCCTATCACAGCTTGTTCTCAGGTGTAGCCTCCGCACAGGTGTCAGTTGGCTTCCTCGGCGGGCTGCTGTGGGAAGATCACCCGAGTCGGCCCAGAAAAAGGTCTTAGCCCCCAGCCTGGCTCAGGAAATACTGGTCATTGGCAATGATCTAACACCATGTTCTTTTCAGCCTGGGAATATTTTCGGTATAAAATGGAATACAATGTCGAGAAACAACCCAGGCAACCACAAGGTGCGTACAGTGTTAGCCAATTCCAGGTCTGTTTATGGCTTGTTGACGTGTTTGTTTTTAATGAATCTAGGTAACTCCGTTTCCAAATACTGGATTTATAAATGGGTTTACGTCTCCAACCTTCAAACCTGCAGCATCTCCTCTGACTTCGCTCAGACAGTACCCTCCAAGAAGCAGGCAAGTTCCATGAGCAGTTGAAATGCTGCGGTTGTGTGGGGTTTGTGGTAACAGGTCACTACCATGGTGTGTTCTCGAACAGCAAAGCAGGACAGATGGTGTTAAACCTGGCAATCCTCACCACACGCACGAGTCACTTCTACTAAGTGAAGAAGCTGCTTCTGATGATCTGTTGGGATTTGTTGGACCAGTGCAGATCAAACTGCTCGAGGCATAGAATGACATTCTGTGAGAGGAACCCCTGAAATGTGTGTCGGAGTGCCTACAGATTCTCTGCAGCTTGTATCTGCATGTGTCTGCCTTTAACGTGGGCTCGCACTGCCGCTAAGCAGGACATTGATACTTCATAGATTTGCACTCTCAGACACAGTGTGCAATGTTTTTAATATTTTTCTAAATAGCACATTTTAGCTGAGACATTCATATATTAGTCTCATTTTAGGATGCCATGATCGCATTATAGCTGAATGTATGCAAACCTTTTGTTTACAGGAATCCTAGTAAATCTCATCTACGCCACACCATTCCCAGTGCAGAGAGAGGAGCTGGGCTATTAGAAAGCCCTTCAATATTTAACTTCACTGCAGACCGGCTAATTAATGGTGTTCGAAGCCCACAAACACGGCAGACAGGTCAGCCTAGAACACGGATACAGAATCCTCCAACCTACACCAAGAGGGAGGTTGGGTCTGGTCGAGTGGAGCAGAGCAGTGCGGAGTCGCCTCCTGGCTTAGGGAGAGGGAGGTGAGTCCTTCAGAGCTGCTGTCAGACAGCTACGACCTACCTGTCCTAATAAGTTATTAGTGTTTTCAAATTCCATCAATTTAGGCATGTTTTATAATTGTTATTTTCAAATACATCACAGTCGAGGGCCCTAAGCTCTAAGCTCGTTAGGCCATCTTGGGCAAGACTGCTTATAGGTTTTCTGTAAAGTAAAGGAATCAGTCAAGATTACTTCTTTGAACTCCTTTCCAGCTTACACAGTACCAGTGTATTCAGTTGAAATAACAAAGGGATAAGTAAATTAAAACAAATATTATGGAATAGAATTAGCTTGTGGGCTGTTAGGCCACGGAAGCCTGTCCGGGGCATGCCTGTCTGAGGCATATGGCCTCAGGGCCTGCTGGGCCTTGGCCGCTCTGTTGGTGTTCGTTGCTTCAGTGCCGGGCATGGTGCTGGCCCCCAGAAATCTAGAGCCCTGTGCACGCAGCCAGAAGCTGGTATCGCTGGTTCTCGGGGCTTGGAAACCCTGCTGCCAGCCAGGGGGTAGCGGGAGTGGGCTGGCGAAGTCATGTCAGGGCTGAGGGAGGGCGTGAGAGCACACCAGCCTGCTTCTGGGTCTTTCCACTTCGATGATTAACCTGATGTATTTTCATTAGCAGTGTTTAACAGTTCACCTGTTAGCTCATTGTCTGATTTTATATATCTCATCACTGCAACTGAATGGACATTCAGGTGTTTCTGTAACAAAAATTCTAAATGACCACTAGGAAAATTCTGTCAGTAAATGTTTTTCTTTTTTTTTAAATCTAGACATTACGTTTAGTCTTTTACTATAAAATTTTTGTTTTGCTTATACTTCCTAAGGTTGGGATTTTGCAATCAAAAGTCAACTGTAACAGCTTACAAAGTAAGAAAGACTGTGTGTGCACATACATGTGCTCAATGAAAAACCTTCCAAGTGGGAAAAAATACACAGTCTTTTGCTTTCCTCTTGTCTAGGAAGAATTCCTTTGGCTACCGGAAGAAACGGGAGGAGAAGCTGACAGTGAGTACATTCAGCCCTTGATACTATTATAAGACTTTTAAACCTAATTTGTTAACTAAACAAATGTGAGATTTAACTACATGAATGAAGGTTAAGACGTGTGGAGCTTTTCAGAAGAGGTTTTCTCTTAATGTGATGAGCATCAGGTGGTAACCGATGTGGCAGCCTGAAGAGGAGAAGCTAGAGGCGATTCTGTAGAAGTGCTGGTTGCTGACGAGTCTCTGGGAGTGTCGACACCTGGTGTCTCCATGTGCACGCGCTGTGCGGTGGGCACGGCCGAGAACCTAGTGTGCACACACAGTGGTCTACGCACACTTTGAGATGAGTTCTCTCTATGTGGGTAACTGTGCAGTACAAGTGAAATTAACTGAACAGTAGGAATTAATTCATTGGTATTTTTTATTCAGAATGTTTAACTTGTATCCCCTATGTAGAAAGCATTACTGCCGGGGCGCCTGGGTCGCTCAGATGGTTAAGCGTCTGCCTTCGGCTCAGGTCATGATCTCCAGGTCCTGGGATCGAGCCCCATGTCGGGCTCCCAGCTCAGCAGAGGTCTCCTTCTCCCTCTCCCTCTGCCTTTCCCCCTGCTTGTGCTCTCTGTCTCTCTTAAAAAAAAAAAAAAAGGTTGGAACAAACCCAAGAATAAGGAGTGGGCTCATGTGAGTGCTAAGTACCTGAGGCATGGCCACATTTGCTGGGGTAACGTAAAAGTTCCTCCTGTGGATAATGCTTCTGCCGAGCTCTGGTGTGGGGATGGATCCGGTATGTTTCCACACGAAGTATGCCCAGTTAGTAGCGTGTGTGGACATGTGGGAGGAAGGATGTAGACATTGACACTTGGAGGACTGGAAAGACCTTGAGTAAATTCTTGGTCCAGCCCCCTGAGCCAGTGGGTATGTGCTCTCCCATTACAAAAGATCTGTTTTCTCTGTCTTGAAAGTACGAATTTTTAGTTACTAAAATACCCATAGTTCTACCTTGCTGGTCAGTTTAGTCTGGTTTTTGGCAAACCCTTTGGTAAGGTCATTTATATTGGTTGATTACAGTTGGAATTAATGAATTCCTGTAACATTTGGACTAACGAGAGGTTGTCACTTAACTAGTTACCTTAAATGAATTATTCTCCTTGGTTACTAAATTACCTGTAGAGGTGACATTTCTTCCCATTGCCATCTCTGTTACATTTTGTGTTCCTGACTCACGTGGTCTTACCTGTGGCCACTTGGAAGGCCAGGCACGTGATGCAGGTAAATTTCTTAAGGGGAGTGCATCTTTGGCTGCCTTGGGACATTCTGGTGACTTCTGGAACTTGGAGACGGATAATAGTGTGTGCTCACTTGGCCCAGCCCAAGCTCACTGGGACCAGGGCCAGTTCGTACCTCACCTCAAGCCATGCAAATCCTAAAAAATGTTAAACACTGCATTCAAGATCAGACCTCATATGTAGGCGCTGCCGTTCTGTAACTCCTGCATCTAGGCAGTTGCCTGCCTCTCTCATTCCTAAAAACTCAAGATTTAGTAAATTTTTGTGAAGTTTGAATGCCTGGAAATGTGGTCTTCTGAAAACCTGGGTTCATCTCAGAAAAATGCGGATGTTTAAAGCCCCTGAGAACGACTTTGAGACGATAGGTCTGTGCATAACTTAGAGCCTTGCTGAGTTACCGAAGCATGGAGGGGCTGAGTGGAGTAAATGGGAGCTTACTTCTGAGGGCACGTCACTCCCGAAACTGAGCTGAACTTCAGGTACCTGCACCATGATAAAGATGAGAAACAGGCAGGGGTGCCAGAAAGACACAGCGGGATTGATATTTTTAACTTCCTATTGAGTTTTATTTATTTTTAAAAGTTTTCAATTCCAGTTAGTCAACACAGTGTAACATTAGTGTACAGCGTAGTGATTCAGCGCTTCCGTATGTCACCAGTGCTCATCACAGCAAGTGTGCTCCTTCATACTGATCACCTGTTCACCCGCCCCCCAGCCCCCTCCCCTCTGGTGACCAGCAGTGTGTTCTCTAGAGTGAAGAGTCTGTTTCTTGGTTTCTCTCTCTCACTTTTCCCCTTGCCCATCTGTTTTGTTTCTTCAGTTCTACATATGAGTGAAATCGTATGGTATTTGTCTTTCTCTGACTTATTTCACTTAGCGTAATACTCTCTAGCTCCATCCATGTCATTACAAATGGCAAGATTTCATTCTTTTTGATGGCTGAGTAAAATATTCCATTGTACATATATACCGTATCTTCTTTATCTGTTTATCAGTTGATGGACAGTTGGGCTGCTTTCATAGTTTGGCTATTGTAAATAAACATTGGGGTGCATGTATCCCTTTGAATTAGTGTTCTTGTATGCTTTGGGTAAATACCCAGTAGTTTGATTGCTGGATCACAGGGTACTTCTATTTTTAACTTCTTGAGGAACCTCCATACTGTTTTCCAGAGTGGCTGCACCAGTTTGCATTCCCACCAACAGTGCATGAGGGTTCCCCTTTCTCCAGATCCTCTCTCCTTTGTTGTTTCCTGTCTTGTTAATTTTAGTCATTCTGACAGGTGTGACGTTTTATCTCATTGTGGTTTTAATTTGCATTTCCTTGATGATGGGTGATGTTGAGCATCTTTTCATGTGTCTGTTTGCTCTCCAGATATCTTTGGAGAAATGTCTGTTCACATTTTCTGCCTATTTTTTAATAGGACTATTCATTTGTGGGGTGTTGAGTTTTATAAGTTCTTTATATATTTTGAATACTAACCCTTTATTAGATACATCATTTGCATATATCTTCTCCCGTTCCAAAAGTTGCCTTTTAGTTTTGTTGATTGTTTCCTTTGCTGTGCAGAACCTTTTTGTCTTGATGAAGTCCCAGTAGTTCATTTTTGCTCTTGTTTCCCTTGCTTCTGAAGACATACCAAGAAAGAAGTTGCTACTGCCACTGTCAGAGAAATTACTGCCTGTGTTCTCTTTAGGATTTTTATGGTTTCAGGTGTCACATTTAGGTCTCTGATCCATTTTGAATTTATTTTTGTATATGGTGTAAGAAAGTGGTCTAGTTTCATTCTTATGCATGTGGCTGTCCAGTTTTCCCAACACCATTTATTGAAGAGACTATCTTTTTTCCATTGGATATTCTTTTCCTGCTTTGTCGAAGATGAGTTGACCATAGAGTTGAAGGTCCATTTCTGGGTTCTCTACTCTGTTCCACTGATCTATGTGTCTTTTTCTGTGCCAGTACCATACTATTTTGATTACAGCTTCGTAATAGAGCTTGAAGTCTGGAATTGTTAGGCTTCCAGCTTTTTTTTCTTTCTCAAGACTGCTCTGCCTATTCAGGGTCTTTTGTGGTTCCATACAAATTTTAGGATTGTTTGTTCTAGCTCTGAAAAATTCTGTGGGTATTTTGATAGGGATTGCATTAAATGTGTATATTGCTTTGGGTCGTATAGACATTTTCACAATATTTGTTCTTCCAATCATGAACATGGAATGCCTTTTCATTTCTTTGTGTCATCTTCAATTTCTTTCATCAGTGTTTTATAGTTTTCAGAGTGTACAGGTCTTTCACCTGTTTGGTCAGGCTTATTCCTAGGTATCTTAACTGTTTTTGGTGCAGTTATAAATGGGATTGATTCCTTAATTTCTCTTTCTGCCGCTTCATTATTGGTGTATAGATATGCAACAGATTTTTCTATACATTGATTTTGTAACCTGTGACTTTACTGAATTCGTCTATCAGTTCTAGCAGTTTTTTGGTAGAATCTTTCCAGTTTTCCATATAGGCTATCATGTCGTCTGCAAATAGTGGAAGTGTTGACTTTTTCCTTGCCGATTTGGATGACATTTATTTCTTTCTGTTGTCTGATTGCTGAGGCCAGGACTTCCAGTGCTCTGTTAAGTAACAGTGGTGAGAGCAGACATCCCTGTCGTGTTCCTGACCATACAGGAAAAGCTCTCATTTTTTCCCCATTGAAGATGCTGTGGGTTTTTCATAGATGGCCTTTATTATATATTGAGGTATGTTCCCTCTATACCTGCTTTGTTGAGGGTTTTTATCATGAATGGGTATTGTGCTTTGTCTGCATCTACTGAAATGGTCATATGGTTTTTATCCTTTCTTTTATTAATGTGATAAATCATGTTGATTGATTTGTGAATATTGAACCACACTTGCAGTCCAGGAATAAATCCCACTTGATTGTAGTGAATGATTTTTTTTTTTAATGTATTATTGGATTTGGTTTGCTAGTATTTTATTGAGAATTTTTGCATCCGTGTTCATCAGGGCTATTGGCCTGAAGTTCTCTTTTTTAAGTGGAGTCTTTATCTGATTTTGGAAATAGGATAATGCTGGTAGAATTCCCCTGGGAAGCCATTAGGCCCTGGACTTTTGTTTGTTGGGAGTTTTTGATTACTGATTCAATTTCTTTGCTGGTTATCGGTCTGTTCAAATTTTCTATTTCTCTCTTTCAGTTTCGGTGGATTATATGTTTCTAGGAATTTATCTATTTCTTCCAGGTTGTCCATTTTTTTGGCATATAGTTTTTTATGATATCCTCTTATTGTTTGTATTTCTGTGGTGTTATTTCTCCTCTCTCATTTGTGATTTGATTTATTTAGGGTCCTTTCTCTTTTCTTTTTGATAGGTCTGGCTAAGGGTTTATCAATTTTATTAGTTTTTTCAAAGAACCAGCTCCTGGTTTCATTGATCTCTTGTTTTCTTTAGTTTCTATATCACTTATTTCTGCTCTGTCTTAATTATTTCCTTCCTTCTGCTGGCTTTAGGCTTTGTTTTTCTTTTTCTAGCTCTTTTAGGTATAAGGTTAGGTTGTTTATTTGAGATTTTTCTTGCTTCTTGAGGTAGGCCTGTATTGCTCTAGACTTCATTCTTAAAACAGCTTGTGCTGCATCCCAGAGGTTTTGGAGCATTGTGTTTTCATCTTCATTTGTTTCAATGTGTTTATTTCTTATTTGATTTCCTGATTGACCCATTCATTCATTGTTTAGTAGCATGTTGTTTAACCTCCATGTATTTGTGGTCGTTCCAGATTTTTTCTTGTGGTTGACTTTAAATTTCATAGCCTTGTGGTCTGAAAATATGCATGGTATGATTTCAGTCTTTTTGTACTTGTTGAGGCCTGCTTTGTGACCTAATAAGTGATCTATTCTGGAGAATATCCCATGTGCACTTGAAAAGAATGTGTATTCTGCTGTGTTAGAAATGTTCTGAATATATCTGTTAAGTCCTTCTGCTTCCATTGTATCATTCAAAGCCATTGTTTCCTTGTTGATTTGCTGATTAGATGATCTTTCCATTGCTGTGAGTGGTGTGTGAAAGTCCCCTACTATTATTATGTGTTATCACCAGTATGTTTGTTATTAATTGGTTTATATGTTTGGGTGCTCCCATGTTGGGTGCATAAATACAATTTTTAGATCTTGTTGGATTGTCCCTTTTACTATGATATAGTGCCCTTCTTGATCTCTTGTTAGAGTCTTTGGTTTAAAATCTAGATTGTCTGTTATAAGGATTGCTACTCTGGCTTTCTTTGATATCCATTTGCTTGATAAATGGTTCTCCACCCCCTCACTTTCAATCTGGAGGTGTCTTTGGGTCTAAAATGAGTCTCTCGTAGGCAGCACATATATGGATCTTGCTTTTTTTAAATCTGTTTTATGCCCCTTGTCTTTTGATTGGAGCATTTAATCCATTTACGTTCAGAGTGATTGTTGATAGATACATATTAAGTGCCATTTTATTACTTGTTTTGTTGTTTCTGGAGATTTTCTCTGATCCTTTCCTTGTCTTTGTCATTTTTGGTCCATCTCTTTTCCCCTCAAGAGTCCCCTTAATATTTCTTGCAGGGCTGGTATAGTGGTCATGAACTTCTTTAGGTTTTGTTGGTCTGGGAAACCCTTTGTCTCTCCTATCCTGAATGATAGATAGCTTTGCTGGATATAGTGTTCTTAGATGCAGATTTTTCCCATTCAGCACATTGAATATGTCATTCCACTCTCTTCTGCCTTGCCAGGTTTCTGTTGAGAAATCTCCAGCTAAAATCTTATGGGTTTTCCTTTGTAAGTTAATGACTTCTTTTGTCTTGGTGCTTTTAAGACTTTTCTTTATCACTGTATTTTGCAGATTTAATTACAGTATGTCTTGGTGTTGTCCTGCTTTTGTTGATTTTGATAGGAGTTCTTTTTGCCTCCTGGATCCCAGATTAGGGAAGTTTTCAGTTGTCACTTCCTCAAATAAACTTTCTGCCCCCTTTTCTCTCTTCTTCTGGGACTCGTGTGATAAGAATGTTGTTACGTTTCATAGAGTCACTGAGTTCCCTGAGTCTATTCTCATGTTCCATAATTCTTTCTTTTGTTCAGCTTCATTACTTTCCATTACTTCATCTTCTAGGTCACTAATTTGTTTCTCTGTTTCTTCCAGCCTGAGGTTCATTGCATCAAGCCTGTTTCCAATTTTGTTTATTGTGCTCATCATCTCTGATCGATTGTTTTTGTTTTTGCTCTTTTATCTCTGTGGTAAGGGTCTCTCTGATGTCTTTTCTCGAGCTCAGTGAGTATCCTTATCATTTTAAGTTCTCTATCAAGCATATTATATCTGTTTCGCTTAGATCTCTGGCTGTGGTCTTACCTTGTTCTGTGGTTTGGGATGAATTCCTCCAAGAGACAAGTGGGATTTTTGTCAGCGTGGATCCCTTTTCACTCTTTAACCTGCTGTCTCTTGAGTTCTAACAGATTTTCTCCAGATTCTACCTCTGTAGGGAATCATCTTCCTGTTGGTATAAGTTGCTGGGCAATGTTGGTCCTTTGCAGCTACGTGAGCCCCATGAAAGCATTGTTTCCAGTCAGAGTAGCCTACCTTCCACCCAGATAACTATCCCCCTTCTGTTTCTTATCTTCTCCAAGGAACTGGATATTCACAATATGACTCTAGCTTGTTAAATAAAGCAAGTTGCTCTGTTAATTTTTTAATCAAAATACATCATTGCCTTTCTTCTGGGATCTTGGGTTTATAAATTACTCTTGGATATTATTATGAAGAAAACAAACTCAAGGAACCTGATCAAAATCTGTCATGAAATAACCATGTTTTTACATAGTGATTTTAAAATATAAAGTGAATAAATTAGGTTTCAGATAACTGAAGTCCCTTCCCCCTTCTTAAACTATTTTTTAATGGAAATCTTTGTAAAATTTCTTACATAAGTTTCAGGGAGTTCAGAGTGACATTTTTTTATTTCACTATCTCCTTTATAAGTTGGATGGCAGGCTCTCTGTTAATAACACAGTTCTTGTCTGGAGAGGAGTACGGTCAGCGGCTATACTCAGGCTGTTGTGATGTTCGACCGGTGGGGTTGAGTTTGCCTCCCTCGCTTGTCCATCCGATGCCTCTGTGCTGTGCTCAGCCGCATGCCTGTGTACCCCTGGTTTGTGTTGGCCGACTGTGGACTGGGAACCGGACGGTCTTGGCATCGCAGAGAGGTAGCTCCATACAGCCGGTGGCAGCCTCAAGAGGGTTCGGCTTTATAACTGTGCTCCTGATGGTTACAGTTGCCTAATAAATGACCTTTGCTTAAATGACGAAGTGTTGCGGTCATTGGGAGACCTCTTTGTATTCAGACAGAGACGGAGAGCAGAAGCTGGAAAGGATTGTTTGCCTTACTCTTCTGCTCTGTGTCTTAGTATCGGACGGTCTATGCTTCTGCAACATGACAGTGTTGTTCTCTTTCAGAGGAGTCAAACTCAGTCTCCAACACCACCAAAGCCCCCGTCCCCGAGCTTCGAATTAGGACTGTCCAACTTCCCTCCGTTGCCTGGGGCAGCAGGCCACCTGAAGACAGAGGACCTCTTTGAAAACAGGCTGTCTAGCTTGTTAATAGGGTCCTCAAAAGAAAGGGTAAGACACATACCGTTTGCACCAGGCTCTCTGCCACACTCTTCATACAGGCAGTCTTCTTATGTGGAAGAGTTTCAGAGAGGGTGAGTGATGCAGAGGCCACGTGGATTTGGAGTGGTAGGGTCAGACTTGAACCTGGGACTAGACCTTCTCTGTTAATTCCCTTACTGTCTGCCAAGGTCAGGGGTGGAAACTGGCATCGTGTGCCATACAGATGCTCTCTGTCACCCCGAGGCTCAGATGGCACTTTTATTGTTATTATTCAGGACCTGCCTTTATTTTACAAGTCTGCAAAATAAAACAGAAATCTGAGTTACAACAGAAGTGATGAGAATTTTTAGTGATCTATGCCACAACAAGGAGCCCGGAAACACCTAATGTAATACAGGGCTCAGGGAGGGATTTATAAAGCCCCACGTCCAGTCCTCGTCCTGGCTGCTGCATGCTCCCTGCTCCTGTTGTTAACCTTTGCGCTGGGGTAGACTGCAGGACTGTACGTTACAGTAACAATCACATACTACGTACATTTGGCACGTCTTGTGCATTATTTTAAGTCTTAAACTTTCAGACAGTAGTCTCTGGGCTACAGTTGCCTCTCTCCAGTGATGTTAGTGTCAGTGCGGTTGAGGGGCCTTGACTTCCAGTGACCCCCTGGCCTTACTCCCCTTGGTGTCAGGCATAGGGGGCGAACAGGCTAGCCTCCACCCCGCTCCAAAAGCAGCAACTACTATTTTTTACATTTCGAGTCTCCATGGATGCCTACTTAACAAGTCTGAGCTGGATTCCACAGCCCAGGGAGTCACAGCTTCTCAGTGGGGCCCCTGCAACAGCTTTTTCTATTGCCTTGGCGCTTGAGTGTGGGAGCTGCTGGCTAGGGGGTGCTTGGCAGCTCGTCCCCAGAAGGGAGCTGGGTCACGCTGGCTGCTGTCTGCACTCCGGCACAGCAAGACAAGACCATATCCTGGAGTAAATGAACCTTTACAGAAAGGAGGCATTTTCCACTCGCACCTTCCCACCAGCCTGGCTTCCTTCAGCTGAGCATGGATTTGTGAAGAGTCTGGTTCTGTGGCAGGGCCATAGCGCCAGGGGCAGAGGGCATAGACGGTGCTGTCTCGCCCGCTTTGCTCCCTCTAGATGTTCTCAGTTCAGTCTGCAGCTGAACCTTTGACCTGCTCTGAAAGTAGAATTGTAAGAAAGCGTTCTTTGTGCCCATGCTGACTTCCAGTGACGTGTTCGTCACCCGGCACGAGGAAGACTGCCCTGGTGAACTGCTGCTGTGTGGGGGCCGCTGTTTGGAGTAAGAGCAGCTGGTGGTACTCACGTCTTTGTCCCATGACCGAGGACAGATTTAATGTCCATGTTCCAAGGTTCCATCTCCTCGGCTGTTAAACTGGGAATAATTACACCTGCTTCCAGGGCTGGGAACTGCCAACACCTGCCACCCACCTTGAAGCACCCACATTTATGTCTGTGTGGAAGTGTCGATCTTTTTGATTTTAGTTACAAGAAGGAGCCACACGGAATTAGACTGGGAACTCCACATTTAACAAGTTTGAGGGTTCATCATATGCCGGGCTGTGTTAGGCATTGGGGTGTCAGGAATAAGATGCCTTTGATATTTATTCTGTGGAGAAAACAAGCTTGTAGACAACGAAAGTGGAGGCCCAGAGGGGGGCCTGAGTCACACAAGGGGCGAGGTGTTTGCGGGCAGTGGGGGAGCGTCCTGGAGGACAGGCAGGGCTCTGTTTCCTCTCACTGCTAGTTGCTTCCCTTGGTAGAGGCCATGCTTCCAGTCCCAGCAGAGTGACCCCGGTGCCCCCAGGAGGAAGGCGGGAAGCCTCTTTGTCGTTCAGACTGGGACCTTTGTTGGTGTGTCTAAGATCATTAGGACAGAAATCTGAGGGCTGTGTCTCTCCCCGCATTGAACTGTCCTTCCCCTGGTTTTCAGAGCCTAAACACGGATGCAAGCACGAACACGCTCCCCGCGGTGAGCCCCAGAGAGCCCTTGGTGCCAGCTCCCAGTGCTGTGTCCACAGCCTTTGGGCGCTCTCCCTCCCCGGCCTGTCTGCCCGAGTAAGTACCGCCTTCTGCCGAACCTCCGTGTTGTCGGACTGCCCTTGCCTGTCGTGAGTGGGAGATTCAGACCTTGGGTGGCATTTTTACAGGGATCCCAAGGTGGTGGAGAAGCAGAGAGAAGCCTCGAGTGTGGACAGACTTCCTTCTGCCCTAACTACAACGGCGAGTAAATCAGTGCAGGTGAACGGCGCTGCCACGGTACGTGTCCTGGCCACCCTTCCCGCCCCAGGGAGGAGGGGCGTGGTTTCTTTTCTGTGTCAGCTTATTTTCAGTGAAGTCTGGTTTGCTGGGTTTTTTACGTGTGTAGGTGCTGTGCTTTCCTCACCGAGTACCTTGAGTATTGGCTGCTGACTTCCCACTGAGTGTCCTGGTTATTTCTCATTGCCGCCACCCTGGGGGCTTCTTATTTCACTGTTGGTTGAGCCAGGTTGTCTTTTGAAGTCTCAAGACTGCAGCCCCGTGTTCTGCGTGGATTCCCATCATTTGTCCCAATGGACATCGGGAAGAAGCCACGCCACCCCTCCCCACCTGCTCCCACCCGGGCGGCTCCGTCCTGGCTGCAGGCCCCCCTCCACCTCCTCTGCCTGCCTCCTTCCCCCTTGGTGCAGCCAACCTGGTTTATTCTGATTCAGTGAACTTCTGTCGTTTAGATTTGGGAATTAAATCCTATCTATAAGGTTGCATCTTTAAAGGAAACGTTTTTTATAGATTACAGTTACTTTTAAGTTAGTAATGGCTTATGGAGGTGAAATAGTTTTAAGTTTCTCTTCTGTTATTTAGCCTTCAAGCTTCCACTTACCTGAAAAATTAACTTTTTAAAAAAAGTTTTTAACTCTGTCTTCACCTTTCCTGAATCTACACCACCAGCCTCTGGTGGTTTGAAATGGGCACAAACATTATTTGAAGCTCCTTGGTAAGTGATGGGCTGCATGGTTCAGGTGTTCCAGGAAGCCCATGCTGTGTGACGTGAGGGTGTTTGCAAGGACGTGTGGGCGGAGGAGGTAGATGCTGCTTCTGGCTCTTTGCAGGGGCACCTTTTCTCACACCTTTTTTTTAGGGCTTCCATGTGACTCTAGAGTGCAGAGGCTGGCACTGCATATCTCAGGACCTTTTCTGGTTTTATCCATTTTTATAAGATGTTCCTAGAGTGTCTTGGAGGGAGCCTTGTGCTGCAGGGGAAACTAAACTTGTTGAAATTTATGAACTTTTACAAGTGACAGCACTTTTGAGTGTGGAATTGAGCACCCACTGAAAACATTGTTCACTTTTACCTGAAGTGAACTCATTTTCACACATTTGGAGATGTCCTTTTGTGCACGTAATCCCAGCATTGTGTCTGTTTCCCAGGAATTGCGAAAACCCAGCTATGCGGAGATTTGTCAGAGGACGAGTAGAGAGCCTCCGTCTTCCCCGTTGCAGCCCCCAAAAGAACAAAAGCCCAACGCCGTTGGTTGTGGGAAGGAAGAAAAGAAGCTCGCCGAGAGAGAGCCCCCTGCCCCCAAGTCGAACCCGGGACCACCCAAAGACCAGAGGAGGCCGCCAGGCCGCCGACCCTCGCCCCCGGCCACCGGGAAGCGTCCACACAGAGAACAGAGCACCCCTCCCAAGTCCCCTCAGTGAGCGCCGAGGTCTGGGAGGGCTGTGAGGAGCTGGGATCGCCACAACTAAGCACTGTCCCACTCGGGGCCAAGAATGAGCCGCTGGTTAGGGGCTTGCAGCGTAGACAAGGCCGGTGAGGTGCCTGCAAGTGGTTTTTCTTCCATGAGTCGGATTTTCCCCCCTCTTGAAAAAAAATCTATTTTTCAGGATTTAATTAATATAAACCTTATTTTAGGTTGGTGCTTAACTGGAGGTGATGCATAAGTCTGATTTTTTTCAGGATAGAAAATGCATTTATCCTAACAAATTGATATTTTTATTAAGCCTCCATGTGGCTATGAATGCAAGCTATATATAGTGAGTTTTTCTAAATTAAGCGGAACTATGCTACTTCATTTTTTAAAATAACTGGTTAGCAAGTGCATTCCTTTGAGATGTCCAGACCGATGGGTGGGCTGAAGACCGCTGGGATCGAGGTCCAGGCGACTCGGTCAGTGTGGCCTGGAGAAGAGAGGGGTCAGGTCACGCCCTCACTGGCTTGGGAGTTGTACTTCATTCAGAATCTTAGCAAGTGACGCTAGTGGTTTTGTTTTTGTTTTTGTTTTTTAAAAAAATACAGCCCGTTTTTGACCTACTGGGCGAGATGCACCCCAGAGAGCCCTGAAACCTTGAGTTTTGATGTGCTGCAAGCAAGTAACCAGCCTCTCACTCCTGTCTCAAGTGGTTGTTGTGTAAGACAGAGTCAAAGCACATTGTGAATAGAACTTAAATGAAAACATAAACCTGGTTGCCCACTCACGTGTCCCCACAAAAATGTACCCTGATGTTGTCTTGCTCCCGAGAGCTGGCGGGAGGGCGTGGGAGCCCCTGTGGCCCCCGTGGCTCCCCCGCATTAGCCGCTGCGTGGGCGCCTTCCCGTGGCTCCGCATCGGCCCACAGTGGAAGCGTTGCTTAAATCGTGAGGGAGTGGAGTCTGCGGGGGGCTCGGTGGTGAGGCTGACAGTCCCTCCCAGACGAGGGTCTCACTGATCCCCTTCCGGAAGTGCTGCACTCCGAAGAACGCGCATGCACTAACGCTAGTGGTTCATAATAAAGTTAAATATAAATTATTTTGTTTTAAAATGCCTAAATTTTTTCTTGAAGTATTCTAAGCAGCAGACATTAAAACATTTCCTGCTAAATGTAACCAGTTTATTCCACAAAAGGTTATTTAACAAGACTGAGGGTTCTTTTTAAAAACATTATTTCCATCCAATATTTAAAGACTTGAATTTTATTTAAACTTGAAAATGACTTTGCCTTAACTTTTGTATAAGACAGCTTAGAGTTGGTGGAGACTGGCCCCTGGGTTGGCACGAGGGGTACAGAGCTGCTCAGCCTGGTGGGGCTGCCGCTGCAGGTGTCCCCAAGCGAGCGTTCTGTAACACAGGGCCTGGCAGTGGTGTCTGCAATACACCCTGAAGATCTTCAACAGTTGACCTTCTTCAGATTGTTCAGAAATCCTGTAAATGCAAATAGTCGATACTGTATTAAATATGTGCACTTGGGAGTGTGTGCTTCGCTTGTACAGTTGTAAATAATCAGAACATATTAAAAAGGTACCCTAAAGAGAAAAATCTGATAAAAATTATTGATATATTATAAATGTTGCTATTGAGCTGGATGTAGATAAACTAAATGTTGTGGTTTGAATATTATTTTAATTTGTTGAGGTGTTTTTCTTTTTCTCTGATGCTGGTGTGTTGGGCTGATTCTGCCTCTTTGCTGCTGCAGAAGGGAAATGGAAAGTCCTAGCAAAGCCTTCCGACGTTTTCATGCTCTTCTCACAAGTCTGTAAATATGTACTAATCATAGCTAATGTGAAAGCATAATGTAGGAAGCAGAAACTGGCAGGAGCTTCAGGAGAAAGCAAAAGATAATCTACTTAGAATCCTAACTGCCAGAGGAGAGCCGGCCCTGGTGCGCTTGACCGTCTCCTTCAGAGAAGCCACCAGGACTCCCTATCTACGAGTACACAGTGCTAGTGTAAAAGGAACAGGGGGATTTCTTTTTTTGTAGGTGAGGGATTGCTGACTTAAAAAATCAGGAATTAGTTGACCTCTGACGCCCCATCTCATGAGTACTGGAAGAAGAGCTGGAAAGGCAAGCCCCAGGAAGTGCTTACTGTGGCAATCTTTGCTGGAGGAGGGAGCGGACGCGGTCAGCCTTGGTCACCCGTGCCCGCCCCCCCCT